CGCGCGCGAGAAGACCGACGTGACCCCCTTGGCCCGCGCGCGGCGACTTTGCCGAATCAAGCGGCGGGATGCCGGCAAGCTTGCGTTCAAGATTTCTCTTCGCTTTATGCCGCCTCGAGGCCCGCCGCGCTGCGAGTCACGATCGAGTCTTTGCCGCATCCTCATGACCTTTGCTTGCGCGTATACAGTAGGCCTGCTCAGCTAGCGCGCATTGTGAGAGATCTTGAGATACACTGCTATCGCAAATAGCGGGGCACGTACAGTAGGCAAGCTTGAGAGGGATATGCGGTGCTTTGCCGCGCGCAACCCCACCGGGAGTGATTGATTGCATCTTGATTCGTGATTGGCACACTTGTTCTCCTGACCTTGACCCCATTCCGGGAGCCTCCTCGGCTCTGACCAGGCAACGCAACCGGACGATCGATCGCCTTTAAGAAAGCCTAGCGGTCAGAGGCTGGCTGCCTTGCTACCCTTGTGTCAGCATCTGCCTGTCCTGCTTGCTCAAGACATTACTGGCGGCCCCAGCGCAGGAGTAACATCGACTTGAAGACCATTTCGGTACCATCCGCACACCACCGAGCGAAGATGTCCGTGAAAGATCACAGCCCCGGACAGCCACTTGCGAACGCCGCCGACTCCAAAGATGCAAAGAGCGATGGCTTCCAGGTAGAGTCTGGCGAGATGGTAGGATCGGAAAAGTCATCTGCGGCACGCGCACCAGTATCAGGCATCACGAGGTTTTTTACCGGCCCAGAGCTGGAAGCGCGCAAAGCAAGGTACCGAGAAGCGGACATGCTCAGCGACGAGATCGAGACGGACGCGACGGCTGCTGGAGGAGAAGGCGGAGCAGAAAAGGCGAAGCAGAGCGTTTTGAACAAGAGGGAGACAAGCGGCTTGAAGAGGGATATGGGCTGGAAAGGCTGTGCTTGGAACATCACCGCCTACTCCATCGCCCTCGGTGTACTCAGCTTGCCCAACGTGAGTGATGGCGTCACATTCGTGCAAAGCGCGCGCGGGTACAGCACTCCCTGCACATCGCCGCCTGACTCGTCTTGCTACCTCACCCATCACAGGTGGCAGCTACGGTTGGCATTGTGCCTTACATCTTCCTCATCCTCATCTTTGCCTACCTTACCTGGTTCACCGGTATCAGCTATTGGCACCTCCAGCAAAGATATCCGGGCATCCACTCTCTCGAAGACGCAGGCCATTTGCTCTTTGGCAGACCAGGTAGGGTCATCTTTGGAACTTTGCAGTACCTATTCTCCATCTGCTTGGCTGGCAACCACGTTTTGCTAGGTGCCAAGGCATTCTCTCGGCTGGTGAGTGGCGCATCGAGATGTTGTGCACGCGCTTGCTAAACAGCATGCATTCGTCTTTCACAGGGATGGCATGCGCCAGAGACGTGTGCCATCGCGCTCTACTTCACCTTTACCGTGATTTCCTTCCTCTTCACCTTGCCACGCAGCTACAAACTCTTCAGCTACCTCGCAGTCGTCTCTGTGTGCTGCATCACAGTCGTCATCATCATCACGATGATAGCGGCCAACATCTCCGGACCCGTCAATCAACCCGCAGGATCGCCTGAACCTGGCATCAGAGCTTTCGGCTCTCTGCTCGACCCTCCGCCCACCTTCTTGCAGGGCATGCTCGGCGTCAGCAACCTCTTTGTAAGCTTTGGTGCAAGTCCTACGTATCTTCCGGTCATGGCGGAGATGCACAATCCCAAACGAGACTTTCCTCGCGCTCTAGCTTTCCTTGCTATCTTTCAAATCGTCGTCTATCTCCTCGTCGGTGGAGTTGTGGAACGAGGCTTGGGACAATATGTCGAGTCGCCCAGCTTGGCGAGCTTGAGCCCAGTGATGAGCAAGATCGGGTATGGGATCGGACTGCCGACTATTCTGCTGTAAGTCGATTCTTTTTGTCTTTCAGCTTCGGCTTGCGCATCGCTTACGAAACGCGTTGATCCAATTTGACGTCCGCAGTGCCGGCTGTGCAAGCGGACAAGTGGCTGCGAAGCACATCTACGTCAAGCTCGGTCGCACACAGCCCAGCTTGTTCCGTACCAAGGCTCGTGGGTGGTCCGTTTGGGTTAGTTGCGAAGGGCTCAATGGGCGCGCTGTGACGTTGGAATGGCTCACACGTCGCCATGCTAAAATCACCTCGCAGATCTTTGTCAATATCATCAATTGGATACTGGCTTGGATACTCGCCGAATGCATTCCGTTCTTCTCCAGCTTCCTCGGTGTGGAGTCGAGCGCGTTTTGGACAGCATTTTTGGCGTTTGGCGCCGCTTTCATGCTGTTCTGCGCTTACGACGACAAGCTGCGTGTGGGCGGCAAAGCACAGATTTCCGGCGATGCGGATCTCAAGGCATACCGAGCCGAGGTCCTGGTCGCCAGCACGGATGAAGAAGCACGCACTCAACACTCCACCTTGCTGCGCTGGGCGTGCACAATTCCTAGTCGCCCAGCCAGCGCGTGGACCTTTGCTCTCGTCGTTTGGCTCATCACTTCCCTCGTTTGCATAACGGGAATGTGGGGAGCTGCCCTGTCCATCAGGGACTCGTACGCTCAAGGCGTTGTCGGACGTCCCTTCTCTTGTGCCATTACCGATGCTTGATGTGCCAAATGTAGCATAGCAGCCGAACTCGCATCTGAGGTCAATCACAATATCGAGTCGAAGACGACATCGTCATGCGCCCAAAATGATCACTCGTGTGTCGAGTTTGCGCTCGTCGCGTACATGTGATAGTCGAGGCCTGCTACAGCCCCAGCGAGCCGCGCAGCTCGTCTTCCAAGCCAGCTAGGTCTTCAGCGGTCCTGCCTTCCTTCTTCAACTTTGCATTTCTCTCCTCCTCTAATCTCTCTAGCATTTCCGAGTGCGCTTTCCTCTCTTCAGCCTCTTTACGCATGGCAGCTTGATCATTGCTGTCGCCCTGCTTCCAAGCTTCTCCCTGCTCATGCGTCTCTCGCTCTTCGGGAGGAAGCGCAAACAGCTCGCTGGTGCAGCGTTCGCATGTACACGGTCCAAACATCCAATCACGCCAGAGCTACATTTTCGATGGCGTGCGACGCGAATGGAGGTTGTCAGCAAGCAAAGACGGCCAGGAATGCAGGGTCGTCTATCCACTCACCACCAATCTGCGTCTGTTTAAAGAATATTGAGGCGGCACGTACGAGATAAACAGCTCTTCGCCCGCTTTGATATCTCTCAAAGCCAATGCACCAATCTTTGTCGCTTGCTTCACTCCCTTGTTGGACGGAGGATGGCTGGTCCGCACGTTTGGGTCACAGCTGTGGTTCAGCATGGATTGCACGAGGTAGAGCCCACCTTGAGATTCCATGTTCAGATTTGCACTTTCACGCAGGCGCAAGGAAGAGATTCAAAAATGTGAGGATGCGAACTACATCGCCTATCTAGAGGAATTCGCAACGCTACTCACCGGCCTAGGTGCCTGTGTAGAGGCAGATCGAAGTGAAAGCAGTCCGCTCAATCACCTGCATCATGGCGCACAAGGAAGCCGGTGATGTGCACTCACTTGACGAAGGACTCCCAGCTGAACAAATCTCTCGCTTGTTCCTTTGGAAAACTCTTGATCGGTCCTTTGGTCCCGTCGGCCTTCGGAGCACCTGCTTCAGCATCATCCCAAGGGTCCAGCCCTAGCTTGAGCAACCTCAAACCTTCCCTCATTGCGCTCTCAAAGCCCTTCTGCTCCACGCTCCAAGCTGGATTCCTAGCCCGTCTTTGAAGCTCAGAAACGGTGGCGAAAGCTTTCAGGTGATCCAACGTCTCCTCCATCGTAGCTGGAGGGAGAGGGACGCCTCTCGCTGGAGGCTTGGAAGAGGCGGGACCTCCATTGTGGAGCAGCGAAGGTGGCGGTGATGAGCTGTGAGTCATGAGCACGCGCGCGAGCTGACGCGCCACGTTGTGAAGCGACAACCATTTGTGTTGTGCTAGATACTCCAGAAATGGCTGAAATAGCAGAGGTTTGAGAGATCGCTTCAGCAAGGTACCTTTGCACATGCCAGCAGTGGTTTTGCCTCACTCTGATGCTGGGATTTTGGCCGACGCACAGCACTCGATGATGGTTACTCTGCCCACGCTGCTCGCAGCTGAGCGCAGTGAGGAGGCAGGATGGCTGACGAGTCAAATGGCCGCGTACATGCGCTTTGAGCAAGCTCTACTCACACTCTGTTACAGAATCTGGTCTTGCAAGCCGTCTTGCCGCACCGCGTGACCAACATGCCTCCCTGAAGCGGTTGAAAGCAGTCGGAGCACAGCGATCCGTCAAACACTTGATCCACAGCGATGGCAGGTGGAGCAGCGATGAAGGCATTCTCGACAAAGATGACTTCCGACTCTTTAAAGTCTCGCGTAGCCACCAGACCTTTGCCCTTGATGCTGTCAAAGTACTCTACTCGCACTCCATCGGGCAGAGGCAAAGCTTGATCGACGTGAGACACTGGTACCGCTGCGAATTTTTTGGCCGCACTCTTTTGCGCTGTAGTCTTTCGCTTCTTCTTCTTCTTCTTCTTGTCACCGCTTGAGCCGTTCGATTGC